GGGGTCGGCGGAGAACGCGCGCCCGGCGGTCGGAGCCCCTCGGCTCGCGGGCGGAGCTGCCCTGCCGGCCCACCCCTCCCCAGTCTCCCGACCGAGTGCCCGCGGGCACCGTCCCGCCCTCCCCTCGGGGTGGCCACGGGGGACTTCCTCTCCTCCTCCTCCTCCTCTTTCTCCTCCTCCTCCGCACTTCCCGCTCCCGGCGCGCTCACGCCCCAACTCCCCCGGACCCCAGCCAGCCCGGGGATGCCCTGGACCCGACACCCACCACGTAGGGGGCAGCGGGGAGCCCTCCGTGCCCTGGACACAGTAGTTCTCAAACAGGACAGTGTCAGTCGGCATTCCTGCAGGAGGCCTGGGGTGGCTCCAGAAAAGCGCGTGCCCCACCTGTCCCGCAGGGGATGCTGAAGCCAGGATTCCGAGCCACCTGGAATAGCACCCAGCCGGCCGGCTCCCCAAGCCATGCTCCTGACCCCTAACAGCCCCGCTGTAAACTCAGCCCGGAGAGACCTACAAGCTGGAGAAAGGTGTTCTCTTGCTAAGCGGGGCGAAGGGGGTGGGGGCGAGAGCTCAGGCGGGAGCTGCCTGTAGGGAGCCCCCTGATGGAGGGCAGGGTGGTCAGGGCTCCCTTGCACTCAGGTGAGAGGTTGGAGTTTCGATGTTAAGATGGTCGCTAAGAACGAGAACTAGAATTCAGGCTCTTGTGGTTTTACCGTCACTTCAAGAGACAATTAGGGAGCATCCACTATGCGCACAGGCCCACCGCAAGGGTGATTTGGGGAAGTGGGAAAGCGAGAGGCCAAACACCAAGGCAGGAGGGAGTTTCCAGCTTCCTGACCCGCGGTCTCCGTCTCCGTCTCCCTGTCCGGTCACCACCACCCACCCAGCCTGAGGTTTTCATATGCTTCTTATTTTTCCACAGAGATACACACAAGTCCAGTTCAGAACGCATGTGGGTCACTGGATGGAGTGGTTGTTCAGGGACATCCAGGAAGTCCTAAGATGACCTGAACTGGGAATTCGTTAATTTTTTTTTAATCCCCCTGAATTCATACGCATTGGCCACGTTGCACCAGGAGCAGAGACTCCGTACCAAGATTTGAGTAAAGGTTCTGTCAGTACCTTACAGGGTTAACAGAGTTCACCAGAAATGGTTCAGGTCACGTTTTAGGCAGTAAATGTAATGTCCCAGCGGAAGCAGCCTCATTTGGTCAAGACAAAGATTTGCACGAACCAAAGATCAAACTTCACGTCTTCTACCCACTTTTTTTTTTTTTTTTTTTTGCCTAAAAATGGGAACACAGAATGTCTTGTCAAAGGTCACCTCAGGAGGAGGGGGCAAGTGCCCAAAAAAGTGTAACACATTTTTGTGACTTAATCAATGCAATTTCTTTCAATAGGTCTTTTGATCACTCAAGCTTTCACATGATCGGATCCTGAAATAAATACATACTTCTTGCCTACTTTTCCATGGTCCTTCCAAGTACTGAGATTTTTAACCTTGCCTCTGGCTTCAGTTAAGAATTTTGGTGGTCGTGTGCTTGTTTTGTTTTGGGGGAGGGGTTGGTGTGGTGTGTGTGTGTGTGTGTGTGTGTGTGTGTGTGTGAGAGAGTTTTCAGCACGGTGTAGTCAACTGGGAACAAGAGATACACCGGAATTCAAATCCCTGCTGGGCTGTGACTTGCTGGGTGATTTCAGAGGCAACATTTTACCCCTCTGTGTTTTATTGTCCTCATTAGTACAATGGGTATGAAGCCATAGACCCCAGGACTGTTAAGACCAAGGAGATGATACACATAAAAAGGCCACCTTGCCTGTCATTCGGTAAGTCCCCAACAAAGGCCACTGCACTCAGTCTATTTATTTTACTTCATTTTACCCTGACATTCGAGAGAAGATACTGAAACTAGTTAGTCACAGTCACTATACTTGAAGCAGGGAGACCCTTTACCAAAAATAACTTTCCCCTAGGGCTTTTCTAGGAACCACAATTGGCATAAATGATTAGCCTTTATAAACGTGAGCAATTACTCTTCTCAGAGAAAGAACTGGGAGTCCAAAATTGGGTCCCCTAACTGAGGCCCCTTCACCATTGAAGTCAGCTGCCTAGAGCACCCAGGGGTATTTTTCCTCAGTATTAATAGTGTTCGAACCTTGGTTCCCTGGCTCACTCCTTGGCTTTCTCCACCCTCTTCTCTCTTTCTTTCCCTTGACTCTCTTAATGCTGAACAGCTTTTTGTGTTCACTGCAAACAAAAGGCCCTAATGACAGTGATGAAGTTGTCATAACTGACCTGCTGGATCCTGTTGCTAAACACCATGGCCAGCCTGTAATCATTACTATGAAACAGAGAAAACAAACAGCAATCCATTTGTCCCCGAAGTTCCTGGGAGGTTCACAACATTCTCTTTCCTCTCTTCTATGACTTTCCAGGATTCTGGCATCTGTAGGAGAGATGGAGGCATGGAAGCTTATATTCTGCAGGGTTAGTTTTGATCACCGCGTCAAAGGGAAAAGCTAACTAGAGAACGAACTGGTCTTCTTTGTTTTAGATTCTGGGCCCTGCTGGGACTACCTACTCACAGTGAGAATCCCCAAACTATAGGGGAGGTTGGGGGGTAAGGGTGTGCAACAGGAGGGGTCTTCTGGGAAATTAATCAAGCACACATGAAAAAAGTCAACTCCTCAGACTCACACAAGATGATTTGGGGAGCCAGCAAAACATGCCGGACCTTAATTCATTAATAGCACAATATTTAATTCAGTCAATGCCAAGAGAGACATGATTGTTTTGTAAACAATACTGTAAGTATAGTTGCTACGGAAGAAGCACCACACACAATTGGCATTTGACTGGGTTTATTTCCAGACTTCTCACTCCAGAAAGTCTGCAGGAATTTCTAGCCACCATCCTGTTTCACCTGTAACCTTGATCACAATCCTACTACTTGTCACACGCGTCCCACCTGCTTTTCCCGCTGTTTTATCAGCAACGCTTTACGAACTTTAATGGCAGCTCTATACAGAGCAACCCAATACTTTAAAACTCGGAAAGTATGACATCAAGCTTTGGTTTGCTTGGCACTGCAATGATGTTCAATACAGAAATACCTAACTTTAAGTAGGTAGGTGGAAACTCATTTCTCTGCCAGAGCTCGGGGTCAGGGAGTCCCTCTCAAAAGAGAAGCCACAGAGTGTTGTCGTTCAGCATCTGGGCTCAGGAGCCAGATAACCCGGATTAGAACCCAGTGCCAGGACTTCTGAGCTGTGTGACCTTAGACAAGTCGCTTGATCTCTCTGTGCCTCAGCACTCTCTCAGTGGTATTAATGGCATTGCTAGGAGAACAATGTTTGACATATGAAAAGCACTTAGAACAGTGTCTGGCACCTAGAAAGCACTAAAAAATATTATTATCAATGATATCATCCTCATCGCCATTGGAATTTCTCTGTAGCATGCAAGGCATGATGGGAAGAGACCGGTCTTGGGAAGGAGAACGCCGTGCTGGATGTGACCCCCTGGCTCAGGCATTGCTGGATAACTGGAAGCAAGCCTCTTACACTGTTTAAATATCACTTTCCTAGTATAGGGATTGAATGAGCTGGTCCCCGAGGTCCCATCAAATTCTAAAGTTCTCTGGATTTATTTAATCCTACAGTGAATCCCTTTGCAAGGTGAAGAATACTGGCGCCCCTCAATAACATAGTATCTTGTGAGTTTTGGTTTTACTTTATCAGACGATACCCAGCGCATTAATCCTTCCTTTCGTCATGCCCCACAGGTGAGGCAAGCAATCCATCGGCAGGTTTCTAGAAGCAAGCATGACTCTATTTGTTCCTCCAGCACCTGCACTTGGCGCACTGACCTTCCTCGATAAATATGTGTTGAATGAATAAGAGATTATAGATTGTTCGCCTCAAAGAAGCTTCCACCAGAGATCATCTAAAGGGAGAGGAAAATGCTATTTAAAACTTCGAGTGTCTACTAACGAAGGTGCATCCTGGTAAAGGATGAGCCCTAACCCCCAAGTCCCCGCTGGGTGGGCCTTGCTGCAGCTAATGGCCTAGAGGGGCTCTCTGGCAGCTAAGAGCCTGGATGCGCTTGGGCTATGCAAAGGCAGGTCTGGAGGTTTTAGGCCTGGGTGGGGAGAGAAGTAAATTCCTTTGCCTAATGGCAAGATTTGGAGGAGGGAATAAGGCAGAGAAAGCAGTGAGATGACCTGAGGCCAGGCGCTCCATGGGATGGGTAGCCAGCACAACTCCCAAGTTCCCCAGTCCAGGGAACATTCTGGAATGGGAAGTCTGTTCTTCTGTCATCTGTGTTAAGTGTGCTATTATGCACAGCCTTTTTGGTGACCCTTACAACTTCATGGCTTGTATCTGTGGGTGCTTTGATGCTGGTTTGCAGGGATTGTGGGGAGCCAGGGCCCACCCTGGGCTCAACACCAGTGGTAAAGGAACAGGTGTAAGACCAAGAGAATAAGAGCCCA